CGGTAGGTGGCGGCAGGCCAGGCGCGCCTCTTGCCCTGGACAAGACGAGCCCCTGAAACTCCCCAGCTGGCTGGATCTGGGTAAGGATCCGCCGCCAGCGACACTGAATAAACAAACACCACCAACATTCCCCCTAAATAAACCGTAACAAGCACCAGAGACACAAAGGAAACCCCCAAGCTTACCAACCAACCAACCAACCAACCAACTAACCTACCACACCCTGCAGCTGCCGCTGCAACCAGCCCAGCACCCGTCACAAGGGGAGCGGTTCGATGCAACAGCCAAGCCCCCTAAAACAAAGCACAACCCTAAAAATAAAACAAATTCTATCATAAATTCCTATTCGACCTCTCTCCTGGGCTGGGCTCGCTTTACTGCGCGGGGGAGTGCACAGGACCGAGCACCGCAGCAGAGTCAGGGCCGAGAGTGCTCTGGGTCTCCTCAATGCAAAGTCCGTGCCCTTTCCTTATTCCGCCTGCGAGGGGCTCTGCATGGTGCCGTGGAGTGTCGGGAGTGGGTGCTGGTGGGCCACACTCCCCAGGCAGCCCTGCCTGGCCCCGTGTCCCGCCCTGTCTCTGGACCTTTGGCGAATCCTGGTTCCCATTAAGGTGGCTGCCAGCTAGACTTGTCGTGTGGGCATTGACTCCGAGGAAAAAGCGACGCGCCTTTTGGCGTGCCCCCAAAGGTGTCCAAAGGTGTTTTCGTTATCCACCCCCCTTCCCCCTCCCCCTTAACACTTGTTACTGCCCTCGGTGAATAGAAATAGCGAAGTGTCAAGCGCTGTTCATCCATTTTCATTGCTGGAGAGCGGTGCAGGGACGTGCCCTTCCCGAGAGCAAAACGGGGCCGGGTGAGACATCCGTGCTGGACAAATATTGAAAGAAGAGAGTTTAGGACACAGGCGGTGGTGCCCAAGTGCGGCGCGGCGGCCCAAGCTCCGCTTGTACATGTTCCTGGTTTTTGCACATTTCCTTTTGTAATATCTTGGGCAACCCGAGAGGAATCTTCCCGCACCTCAGGCGGTTCCTTCGGAGACGGTACTCATCTCCCAAAGGCAAATGTACAAACTGGAATCGTTCATCTTTAAAGCCATCACTGCCGCAGGGATGAGGGCTGAGGCCGGCACGGAGAGGGAATCGCTCCTGCCGGGTGTCGCATCGAGCGCTGCGGAGCCGGGGAGCGATGCTCCATCCATTGCCTGCGCACCCAGCGCACGGGCAGAGCGCTAGCCGCGCCTGTCGTGGGGTTCTCCCTGCATCGCTTTCCTTCCTGGGACACTGCTCCCAAATTTTCCAACGATCTGCTAGGTCTGTCCTAGTTTCAGGACAAGCTCCGAGCCCCCAACAGTTTGGAAACAGTGGCTTCTCAAAATATCCCTCCGCTTCCCTTTGCAACTGACTCCCTTCGCCGTCGGTCCTGACAGAGCTGCCTCTCAGGGACAGACAGACCTCACAGACTGACTCTGCCTGAGTTTTGTGGCCCGGTGGTGTCGCGCCACCTCCCCGGGGTGGTATTCGCATCACCCCGGCTGTGCGGCACCACCGTGCGCCAGAGCTGAGCGGGCACCGGCAGCCCTGGGGGAGAGGGAAAGACTACCATGGTAAATGAACTGCCATGGTAAATGAACTGGGCTCCCCAGCCCCTCTGAGCATATGTTGCTCCTGGATCAACAGGAGAGATCCTCTTCTCCTCTTTCTTGCCCCTTAAGACCTTCAGTAAGGCTGTCGGGAAGATGCTCCACCACGGCGTTAAGGAGAGGTAGCCTGGCACCTTGTCATGCTCTCGAGCAGAGGGACATGCCGTGCCCAAAACGCTGCGCTGGCAGGAGGCTGGTGGCAGAGATTTTGGGGAAAGAGCCTGTTTGGGGGTGTTACTCCCCTTCAGGATCTGGCGGCACTTAGCCTGTCTGACCTGGGGGAAACTTTGTAGAGCGGGTGTATGCAGCTCTGCGTGTCTCGAGCGGGGGCAGCGGGGTCAGGAGCCACTCGACATGGTTTGCTCATCGTCTTTCAAGTGTCCGGCCCCAGCCAGAAAGTGGCATGAGCAAGGACTCGCCACCCCATGGGTGATGGGAGGGAATTTCTGTGGCCAGGAAATTCCCCGGAAATCACTTCGATGTAGCTAGGGGTTTGCTTTCTTCATTTTCCGTGTGTTTTGCGGTAGGTGTGACATGGATTTGAGAGGGATGCAAGGTATGTGTTGGATTTATACTTGTGCTTCTGGCTATCGTAGCGATCATTCCCTGGCTGCGCTCAAGTCCATTTGCTTTTGAAGAAGGAGATTCCTCTGCCTTGCGCGGGGCCAAGGTGGGGAAGGGGCAGGCTCCCGTTCAGATGTGTCCCAGCGGGACAAGAAGGGTCAGGAGCCGAGCCCCTGTTCCCCGGCTCTGCACAGGCCCGGAGCCCGGGCTGCTGGAGGGGAGCGGGCACCGCACCTCGGCAGAGCCGCGCGGCTGCGGCACCGGCTGCGGTAACCGGGCGGCTCCTGGGGGCCCTGGGGCTGCTGGGCGGCCGGGGACTCTCCCGGACTCTCCACCGCCCCCGGCAGCCTCAAGGGCTGGCCACGCCAGGTCCCTGGCCTCCCACCAGCGCCTCACACCGAGCTACCGTGGGGTGGCGAAGCATTTAATTCAGCCAGCCCTGAGGAGGGCAAAGGAGGGACTGGGATGCTCTCAGGGGGCAGCGCGACCCCTCGGGGAGCCCCGGGGCGGGGAAGGGAAAACATTTCTGTCGGTGCGGTGCGGAAGCTGTGTTTGCTCTCCCAGGTGGATCTTTCGGCTCAGCGGGACAGGGCTGCTCGGGAAGAGTGATCCGAGGGTGAGCGATGCCTCTGCCAAGCTACAGCTGGGAGCGCCGAGGGGCCTCCTGGCCGCCGTGCTCGGTGCCACTCGGAGCGGTCCCTCCAGGCCACCGAGCAGCGAGCAGGGTGGAGGCCAGCCGTGTGCCCCGGCCGCACGGAACGCCAGCGGCAGCTCTGAGCGGTGTGGGCACCATCACAGCCCACGGGACCGAGGGAAGGGATAATTGCCCGCACCCGACGCTCGTCAGACCCCATCGAAGACTTGCGGGCGTTTTTGGGACAGCGGGTGCAGCAAACAGCCGTGAGGGACGAAGGGCTGGCGAGGCAGGGGAAGCCGGGGCAGCTGCCTGGGGCGGGAAGGCTCCCCTGGAGCGGGGCTGGCTCAGCCTGGGGCAGAGGCGGTGTCGGGAGCATCCCGCAGCGCTGCGAGGATGGGCATCCAACAGCCTGGCTCTTGGCAGAGTGCGGGGTGAGAGATCGAGGGGCGGCGGGCGTCAATGGGAACAGGAGCCCGGACGCGCTCATCCCAGTCCCCTCCGAGGTCCCTGGTCCCGCCCCGCGGGTGGACATGAACGGGGAAGCACTGCAGTCGCGTCGGCCCTGTGACGGGACACTCCCACAGCTTCCCCTTTCCCGGACGGTGGGAGCAGCCCCACGGCCACGCGTGGGCGGTTCCTGACTTCGCGCACGGGTCTCCGCCTTCCCTTCTCGCTCTTTTCGCGTGGGCCGTCTGCAGGCGGGACTTCCCAAGAAGCGGTTCTTGCAAAGCTCTTTGTTCCCTCCGGTGACTCACGCGTTTCCCTGCCCTTATCACGGCCATTCAGCGGCTTTGAAGTCCGGTCATTTATCACCTTCCCGGAGCTGGCCCTGTCTTGCTCTGCTGATAGACCCGGGGACGTTTCCACGCGGAGTTTGATCTCTGCCCGCGCTGGTGGCGCTCTGCAAAGTCACTTTCGATAAACCTCGACAGACTCTGCCGGACAAACTATTGCAGCGCTAATGACAGAGATAATCCCCTCCTAATCTGGCGGGTAATCCATTTCACTCTAGTGAGAATTTTTAAGGCTTTAATCAGTGAGAGTCTGTTAGGGAATCATTAACAGAGCCTCTGCCGAGCGAGCTCGTCCGGAGAGGAGCAATGGGAATGGGAATGGGAAAGGGAGGGCGCAACGAGGCCCGATGAGGTCAAAATCGATGCACGGCCGGGCGCGAGAGCTGACGTGATGAATTTTGATGTTGCGATAGAATTGCCTTCAGTTCGAACGCCACGAAAAACCCGCGCCATCGATTCCCCTATGCCCGCTGTGACGGCGGCTCTGCTGGCGGCGGGGACCGGCACTCCCGGGGAGCGGGAGAAGCGCTGGGGGTAAAACGCGCCGGGTGACGCTTCCCGGTGCCGAGAGGGAGGCCGTGCCAAAGCCCAGAGGCGCGTTTCGGTAGCGGCTCCTGAGGAGAGGCGCCGAGGCGCTCCGGGCCCCTCGCCCGACGTGCGGGGCCGCCCTTGGGAGCGGCTGCGGGCGGCGCCGGGAGGTGCGGGGCGGTGCGGAGCTGTGCCGGGCGGTGCGGAGAGGTGCGGACCTGTGCCGAGCCGTGCGGGGCAGTACCGGGCGGTGCGGGGCCGTGCCGAGCCGTGCGGGACGGTGCCGGGCGGTACCGGGGGGTGTCGGGCGGGGCGGTGCGGGGCTGTGCCGTGCCGGGCGGTACCGGGGGGTGTCGGGCGGGGCGGTGCGGGGCTGTGCCGTGCCGGGCGGTACCGGGGGGTGTCGGGCGGGGCGGTGCGGGGCTGTGCCGTGCCGGGCTGTGCCGGGCGGGGGCTCCGTCGGGTCCCACCCGCCCCCCCCGCCCGGTGCTGGGCGCCGCCCCCCGGCCGCGCGCGGGGTCCCCCGCCCCCCCCGGCGCGCCCTGATTGGCTGGCGGCGGCGCCCGGCGGCACGCGCCCGGGGATGTCGTTATAAGACCCCTCGCGTGCCGGCCCGCGGCGCCAGCGGCTCCGGCCCCTCCCGGAGAGCGGCGGCGAGGCCCGGCCCCGCCACAGCGCGGCGGGCAGGGCGGGGCGGCCCCGCCACCGGCACCGCCACCGGCACCGCCACCGCCGGGGCGGCTCGGGCAGCGGGCCGGACACAGCGGCTGCGGGCGCGTCCCGGCGGGGCGGCCCCCCTGCCCCGTCCCGTCCCGTCCGCGCCGGGCCCGGGAGCAGCATGGAGACCGTGCTGCTGGAGCACTTCCCCGGGGGGCTGGACTCCTTCTCCTCGCCCCCCTACTTCGACGAGGAGGATTTTTTCTCCGAGCCGCCTCCGCGGGACGTGCTGGCCGCGGACGGGCTGCTGGAGCCGGACGTGGATTTCCTCAGCCGGCAGCTGCAGGAGTACTACCGCGACGGCGGCGACCCCGAGGGCGGCTACCGCTGCCCGGCGCCGGCCGCCGCCTTCCCGCCGTCTCCCGCCTCGCCCGGCTTCGCCTACGAATGCTGCGGGGCGGCGGGCGCCGCCCTGCTGTCCCCCGGGGGGCGGCTCCAGGCGCTGGGCTCGGCCAAGCGGCGGCGGCGGGTGCGCTCCGAGGCGGAGCTGCAGCAGCTCCGTCAGGCCGCCAACGTGCGGGAGCGGCGGCGGATGCAGTCCATCAACGACGCCTTCGAGGGGCTGCGCTCGCACATCCCCACCCTGCCCTACGAGAAGCGCCTCTCCAAGGTGGACACGCTGCGCCTGGCCATCGGCTACATCAACTTCCTCAGCGAGCTGGTGCAGTCCGACCTGCCGCTGCGCAGCGCCAGCAGCGAGAGCCCCAGCCAGCCCAAGAAAATCATCATCTGCCACCGCGGCACAAGTAAGTGGCGGGCCGGCGCGGCTCGGTACGGCCCGGCACCGCGCTCCGCAGGAATGCCGGCCCCGGCAATAACCCCCTGCCTCCCTTTTCCCTCCTGCCCTCCAGGATCCCCCTCTCCGAGCGACCCCGACTACGGACTCCCCCCTCTGGCCGGTCACTCGCTGTCGTGGACTGATGAAAAGCAGCTCAAGGAACAAAACATCATCCGGACAGCCAAAGTGTGGACCCCCGAGGACCCGCGGAAGGTGAACAACAAACCCTCCGTCAACGACATAGAGAACGAGCCCCCCTTCGACTACGTGGCGTGAGGCGCCGCGCGGGTGGTCCCCGCCCCCGCCCCTCTGTACATGCTGTATGTAGAGACCTTTATTGTATATGTAATTTAAGATTCAGACTCTAAGGGCAATCAAATTTATTTATCTATTTATTACGGAATAGTGATAATGAGGTAGAATCGTTTGTTTTGAATATATAATTTATATAATTTATCTTGATTTTTTTAAAGATATGCAATAGGTTTATTCCACCAGCACCTTTTTTTTCTTTTTTTCTTTTTTTCTTTTTTTTTTTTAATTTTAATGGGGGAAATACGTCAGAACCTGTGAAAGTAATTTATTGCCGCACGTGGACTCTCCTTGTGTTTGTTAATAATAAACCCGAATTGTACGTTGTGGAGCAGTATATTTGTGGGAAGCGGCTTCCGAGAGCCCCGCCACATCCCGAGGAAGCCTTGCAATGAACGCCTGGACCGGTGTCCCAGCGGGGAGAGCCCCAAGGCTCATGGCACCCTCAGCCCAGATTGCTGGCCCCGCTCTGCCCCACCGCCGGCTCGGGCTGCGCTTATAGCGCCGGGGGGACGGGGACGGGCGGGGACACACTTTCCCCTTCTCTCCACCCCTTTTGACGTCCTCTCCTGAAGTGCTTCCAACTGATGTCTTTGTGTATCTCTAGAAGGTCCCCTCCTTTCAGTGTCTCAGCACCGCTTGTGGTTTCCAGCTGGAAGACCCGAGCCCCCCAACACAAACCTTGCGAGGGTGTGCGTCCCTCGCCTCGTACCCCCGACCGCGCCGCCGTGGGAATGGGCGCGCTGTCCAGAGCCGCACAAAGCTGCTCCTGAAGCTGCCGGGGAGGGAAGGGCGAGGCCGGGACCGGGCGGGCTTGGGGCTCTGCCGGCTGCCCCGAACCTCCCGCGGTTCCCCCCGCGGCCGCGCCTTGCAAACAAACCCCGCGCTCCTCGCCCCGGGGCTGCCGCTGGGGGCGGGGGGACAGGGGCATGGCAAAGCCATCGTGCAACTGGTGGCAGAATGGCTCCGGTAGCCCCAGCTCGGCGTGCCCGGCTGCGGAAGGGACGGCTGGGCTGCACCTGCCCGGGGGCGAGGGGTGGGGGCGGCCGGGGCCGGGCGGGCCGGGGGCTGCGAGCGCTCCCGGCGGGGGCGGGGGGCTCGGCCCGACGCCGCAGGTGCTGATTTTCCCGTGGCACCCGCGGCTCGGCCCCGACGGCTCAGCCCCCGGCAGAGCCCCAGATGCCCGGGCCGGCCCGCGGCCGGAGCAGCGCTGTCCCCGCGCGGTGCCCAGGCGGATGGGAACGGCCCGGGTGAGCCAAGGCATAATTATAACTCATCATATACTGTACATCTCTCCTTCTCCTTTTTTTTTTTTCCAAACTGTCTCAAAGTGGGAGCAATATGTTGCATGCATGCTAATTGCATTAACCTAGTTAAACACATTTAGTTCCCTAGCGCGGATGGCATGGATCTATTCCAATAGCAATTAGAGGAGCTACTTACACACACAAACAGGCCGAGGCTGGGCCGGGCCGGGGGCTGGGTGGGGAGGGGGTGTCATTGCTTATTTATTTGGTCACTTTTCGTGCGATTCTGGGCTGCGGCAGGGCTGACCGGCCGCAAGCCTCGCCCCGTCCGGCGGCAGGCGGGCGGTACCGGTGTCATTGAACTTAAACGGGGCTCTTTGAGAGAAAAAGAGCCGACCTATAATTCGATCTTGTCCTGTATTAGGACCTCATTAAACACAGAAAGTCGCTTTTTCACAAATGCTTCCATCAGGCATGTAATCTCATTACACTCATTAGAAAGTCAAATGTTAGTCGGACTTCAGTTTAATTATAAGTTATGGAAGTGTTGTACCGTTTCCTTCTGTGTATAGCCTCGTTCGTCTCAATTGGCTTTGGTGATGCGATTCCCCCACAATTAAAACACTACAATCATTGTTATGTGGCACCTTTTCTTTGGCGTGCCACTTTTTTGTGATTCAATGCTTCAACACATCCTTTAGTATGGTGCAGATGAAGCGGAAGAGCCGGCCTTCGCATGTAAAGCACCAGGGTCTCTATCTTGTCACTCTCCCGTCTTGACTTGGCAAGTCCCTTTAAACGCAATCTTCAAAGAGACTGACAGCTCCTTTTGACTGACTCATCATCCATTCACCCCAGCGCCGCGCTCCTGCCACAGAATCCGCGGCGCAGAGCAGGACGGACCCGCCTGTGCAGGTCCCCGGCCCAGAGGCGGCTCACGCAACGCCGCTCGCAGCGTTTGCGGCGGCTCTGGGGGGTTTGCTGCTGGGGAACACGGCTCGGCGCGGTACGGACCCGCGTGGGGAAGGCGTGACTGACAGCCACGCAACCCCAGTTGGCAGCCGCCCGCCCCCTCCTCCCCGCGGCCGTGAGCTGCACCCTCTAGCGCTGCCCCCGAGGCCCCGTGGGCAGCGGCTCCCCGCCCCCTGCCCCGCTCCCGGAGCCCCCGCTGTCCCCCCAAACCCGCACCGGCTCCGTGGGGCCGCCCCTCCGCGTCCGCACTGCCCCGACGGCGCCCCGGGGGCGGGAGAGGCCGGTCCGAGCCCCGGGACCGTCCCGCCTCCCTCCGCCGCTGCCCGCAGCCCAGCGGGAGCTGGAAGGGAGGGTCGGAGAGAACAAAAGGGGGGGAATCCCCAGCCCCGCTTGGGGCGGGAGGGAATGTTAGAGGCACTTGCGGGCGGTTTGCTTCCCACAGGGTCGCAGCAGGGAGGTGCGGATTCTAGGTGTGCGGGCCGGTGCTGTGCTTCCCGAGCCAGCATCGCTCGTGATGCCCCAGGTGTAAAGACGACTTAATTACCGAAACCGACAGTCCTCCGTAAAAAAAACCCCAAACCAAACCAAAAACCCTAAATCCCAACGACAACAACAACAAAAAAACCCAACCCGAAAAACCAAAGCAACGAACAAAACCCAAAAAACAACAAGCCCCCCACCCAAAGGAAGGGAAGCATCAGACCGCTCGCCTGCACAGCCAGCAAAGGGACGGGAAGGCGTGCGTGACTTGTGGGCAGAGCGGTGCGCAGGCAGGGGCTGCCGTGGGCACTGTGAACCCGTCCCGCCGCGGTTCCCAGGGCCTCTCATCTGCCGGCAGTCGGGTGAGCGCCCTGCGAGGCGCGGGGCGTGAAGCCTCCCGAGCCCGGGATCTCATCCCTCTTTCATTCACGCATCTCTCGCTGGCACCGAGTACCAGCTGCGAGGTCGAACAAACACCAGTTGAGTGTCCCCTGGTAAACCTCCCGCTTTCCAAAGCATCCCGCAGCCGGTGGGAATGGTCCTAAATAACTCCACAACAAACCGCGCTGCCGAGACCTGGAAGCGTGGGCGGGAGGCGATTCCCACGACGGGGCCGGGGTCTGGCCAACAGGTGCTCGGGTTTGGCGGAGGGCGCCGGGGGAGCCCGGGGAGGCAGAGCCTCCGCTGCCAGAAAGCAGCCTGCTCCGGCGCCTCCGGCTTTACATGGCGTGGAAGCCGCAAACAATCGCAATGATATCTTTATTGCTAGGTTCATGTCCTGGGCTATAACATATCAATCCCTGTCGTGGTTCTCTCGGATGCACCTGGTATTTCAAACTTGTTCTTTTTGTGCTTCTGGGTCCTGGACTGCAGCTGCCTAAAGCGAGCAAAGAGAGAGGCCCTTACAATGTGTCCAAGACGTGTTGGCATGGTTTGCTTGTCTTTAATGTACCATTAACTATTGTCTTTACACAATATGGGAACTGTAAAGCATGACATGTGTTATAATAAAACACATTTTCAACGATACACTTGGACTCGGCGCTGGGATGCAAGCAAACAAACAGGCCCAAATCTTGTTTTGTCTCCCTCGCTAAGCCTACTGGCAATTAAACTTAAGACCACTGCTTTCCCCTGATCAGCCAATTAAATTTTATGTCTCCTAATTTTTCACATAGAAAAAAAGTCTCGGTGCCGGCCCCTAAAGACATTGATTTTCTTGCTATCACCTGGCGCTCAGACCTTAGTTCCATTTATCAAGAAGGGAAACGTCAGGCGTTGCATAAAGTGACTCTGTTACCATAAGGCTCTCACCATCCTGCCCTATTGTTTTCCCTTGTTAATAACTCATTACCAGGATTTAACAAATCAACCATTACATATGTTTTGTGTCTCCATATTTTGATCCGTACGATTAAGCAGATGTTACGATTGAAAATTGAAAAGTCCAAGGCTACTCTCGTCTGAAAGAAAGAGGGCAGCCTCAAACAACGAGCTAACAATGAGATTCAGAAGATCTTCAGAAAAACATTTACGACCAATAAACAGACTCCAACCTGCTCCATTTCAACCATTGTGCGCCTTAGGGGAATAATTAGGTTGAATAGGAAGAGGTCCGCGGGGTTTTCAATGCCAAGCCCACAGGTGCGGGGTGGCACGATGAATGATCCGCCTGATTTTTGCCAGGCTCAAGGGCCCTTCTCCTGGCCGGGCGAGCAGATACGAAATATTGTCATTTCTTTTAATTCACGGCGTTACTCTCAGGGCGAACAAAGGGGCGGGGGATGAATGGCTCCGGCTGCAGGCGAGGCGCGCCCGGCCGCCGCTGGCCTCTCCGGAGACCGCCCGGCGGGGCCGAGCGCGCCGCCACCGCCTCTCCCGGGGCCCGTCCGGCCTCGGGGGGGTGTCCGTGCCCCCCGAGCCGCCGCGCGCCCCCCGCGCCGCTCCCCTCGCGCCGCCGCCGCGGCCCCGCGCCGCCCCCGCGCCCCGCGCCGCCGCGCGCCTCGCCGGGACCGGACCCCGCGCGGGCGCACGTGCGCCCCGCCGCTCCCCGCGCCGCCGCCGCGGCCGGGAGGGGGCGGGCGGGGCGGGCCCGGGCCGGGGGCGGCTCCCGGCCGCGGCCCCCGGTGCGGACCCGCCGCCGTCGGGGCTCCGGCGGGCGGCAGCGGGCGGCGGCAGCGGGGCTCTCCCGCCCGCCGGCCCGCGTTGCGCATGGAGGTCTCCAAGAGGGGGCCCGGCTGCCGGGAGCCCCCGCGGGCGAGGGCG